ATATATATAGTATAATAAGTTAAATTTTAACTACGTATATAAGTTAATTAAGTTACGTACAAGTAAAGTGATCTAGGTACATATTTTAATAATGAAAATACAGGACATCTCACGCTTATTGATTTAAAATTGCGCGCGCACGCGTTAATACATATTAGCGTACTATAATAATTGATTACTATAGTAATATTAACCAATATTAGTTAATATTACTAAAGTAATCAATTTTAACTTATTTTATATGCAAAATAAAACATTAAGTAAAGTCAATGAGACATCCAGTACGTTTGCCTTCTATTAAATTTATAATATCAGTGAAATAAGAAGAATTTTTCATAATATAATTATACGATTTAAGTTAAAGTAGATTATTTAATTAACCAACTGTTGCTCATGCCTTTCCATGATGTAATATTTACAGAAAATACATATAATAAAAATATATCTAATAAAATCGAAAAATCACAGCAACATTTAAAACACACTAACGTCTCAAGTAATAATTTGACGTCATATGAACGTCCAAACCAAATCCCATAAATGTCTATTATACGTACAATGTACTGCCCAAAGACATTCTTAGATGTCTAATCTACTAACGTCTAATAGACATGCAAGGATATCGAATTGTTGTTTGAAGTGTTTCTCTCGAATTAATATTTGATTTAATGATGACCCAACTAGCAATTTACTGACAGATTGGCAACAAATTTGATCAAATTCTTATTGCAAAATTTGTTACCTTTCTATCATGAAAAATTGGTAACATACTTTATCTAAAATCTGTCTTTGAAAGCTATATGGAAAATTGTTAAAGCAAAATTTAAAATTTAATTCCAAAAAGTTTAAGATCGGAAAAAAAACTAAGTCCTTTTTCAGATTAAGAATTTAAAAATTAAAAATGGAAAAAATATACAAACTTATAATTCGATACAAAAGAAATAATCTAAAATTTTGTCTATTTAATCTACAGTAAGTCAAGTAAGAGCGTGGTCGAGTTCATGTTATTAGCCTTGAGATAGGTTCGAATAGTTTCATACGATATATCTAAACCTTTCTGCTTTAATTTTGCTTGTCCTTGACGCAATGTTAAGCCAGGATTCCGCGAAAACAGATTCACTATTTTTTTATCGTCTTTTTTTGTCCACTTTACATATCGAACCACGTTCCGGTAAATCGACATTTTTTGCCACATTATATCGCTGCACTCACTTCTGTACGAATGATTTCGACTTTTTCATATATTTAGCAGCCGCTAATTGTGACATTTTTGGACCTTTCGGGTGTGTGCAGAGAAACACAACGAGGAACACGCTTCATAGCGTGATGTGTATTTGGTACTCATGGCGCTTAATGTGATTCTTTTAAGAAAGTTCAATGACAACTGAATCTTCCTTGATGTGCATCAAGGACAAAGGTGCCCTCCATGGATTCATGATAGATTTAGGGCGATATCTTTTATTAGCTTTGAGTTAGGCCGACCACGCTCTTACTTGACTTACTGTATTTATAATTTTTAGGATTTAAGAGTTTAGAATGCCCTTCCCTCGAAAGGAAAAATTCATTATTGTCAGCTTTTGTAGCTGAGCTATTGATGTAATTTCTTACTATAAATTTTATCATAATTATGTTTTACTACGTTTAATTGGAATGAATAAAACTATAAAGCTTCTCTGTACAATTATATGATTACATGCAATTATGTTATCGCTTTATGCTCTATTACAGGGATTCCCAAAGTATGAGTTGCGACTCACTAGTGAATTGCGAACAAATTTTTAGTGAATCGCAAAAAATTTTTAATATTAAATTACACTTCATTATTCAGTATAATACGAACTTACGTACACATGCTCTTTCATGATTTTGTATATGTGAAATTAAATTTCCAACAATGATGGGAATTAAAATTAAATTCCAAAACAAACTACAATTATCAAATTCCTTGTGTCTAAAAATGCCTCACATTTGATGTAGACGTCAAAGTTATTAAGAAACAAAGGAAACAAAAAAATTAAAAAGTAGGAGCAAAGTATAAATGATATAATTAATTTATCCCTTCCTCTTTCCTACTTTTTCATATCTATTAAAGTTAGATAGGTCGCGAATGTATAGTTTTAAAAAATGATACATGATTCACATATAAATTTGGGAAGCTCTGAGCTATTAAATATAAATATTTTAAAAAATATATGCAAAATTCATTGCTACATTAACACATTTCCTGCCAATTTTCAATAACTTTTCATTTGAACTGTATGAGTCATATGTGACCAACAATAAGACTAATAATTTTGCTTATACAATACATATATATTTAACATATATAATACGTTCATAAAATTATAGATTATTATTATAAAGAAAACTAATGTTTCATAATGTGATAACTGTATTATATATAATTGTATATAATTATATATATTTATATATAATTATACAGGATGTTTCATTTTAAGTGATATGGTCGATTATCTCGCGAATCGATAATTTTATTGAAAAAATTTTCGAACGAAAGTTGCATGGATTGAAGGGGAACACATGATGGAAATGTGGATTTGACCTTGAGTGACCTTGTCAAAATCAGGTCAAGGTCATTAATGCTTTTTTAAAATGAAAACCCCCAATTTTTTATTACATATTCTTGTAGCTTATCTCGAGAGCTTTCCAAAACACTATAATAAACTTACATTTATTGAGTCTTCTTTTCCCAGTTATGGAGCTTGAAAGTTACAGTATCGTCGGCGTTATCCGACATACGCTCACGCGCATGGAATTGAGTGATCCAATCCTTTCCAATTGAACGATTCAACTTTTCTTTTTTTTTCGTACAGCTTTTTCTTTCAATTTTTTTACATTAGTGATTTTTTTCAAAGCTTTTTTCAAAATGGCTGCTTACAGTTCAAATGAAATCGTTGATAGTCTTGTGCTTGGTGAAGCTGGACGAAATTATTAGAGCAGAAAGATTGTATCGTAATAGATATCCGTTTAGACGGCATCCAAATGCAATGTAAATAAGAAGAATTTTATTACGAGAGCGTAGAAGAATCCATAAGATAAATCGCAAGCAAATAAATGTTGAAGATGACGTTAATGATCCGCGTGTATTAGCAGTGCTAGTAATGATAAACTTAAATCCTTATATTTCGACTAGAGAACTGCAACGTAATTTAGGAATTCCTTATGTCTGTGTGGAGGATTTTTCAAAGACAAAAATTCCATCCTTACGACATCGCTTTAATTCTAGATGTAAGTGAAAATAATATGAGGCTAAGAAGACAATTTTGTCATTGGGCATTACAAATGATAAGAGAAGATCCAACTTTTTTCCAGTATGTTCTCTTCAGTGACGAAGCCTTATTTCATA